AACCAAAATTTAAAAACTCGTTCGACTCGCTGGTACATCGTTCGACTCGCTGGCAGGGTCAACCCTGCGTTGCGCAAATTCCAAATTTTTTGCGACCCCCTCCATTTCAAGGGGTGTCAGTGCGACCCCCCCCCTATTGGACATGTGTGTTTTTTAGTGTTACGGTGTATTTCTGTGTGTATCAACGTCAAAAATGGATCTAATATTCGTGATCAGGACCTCCGATAACCCCAATAGACGAAGTTTCAGCGAAAAAATTTTTGACACCCCCTACTGGGGTTGTAATAATGCAATAGCGCCGGGAACCCTTCCGTACTGCTTTAGAGGCCGTGCTAAAGGCCTCTAAAGCAGTACGGAAGGGTTCCCGGCGCTATTGCATTATTACAACCCCAGTAGGGGGTGTCAAAAATTTTTTTCGCTGAAACTTCGTCTATTGGGGTTATCGGAGGTCCTGATCACGAATATTAGATCCATTTTTGACGTTGATACACACAGAAATACACCGTAACACTAAAAAACACACATGTCCAATAGGGGGGGGTCGCACTGACACCCCTTGAAATGGAGGGGGTCGCAAAAAATTTGGAATTTGCGCAACGCAGGGTTGACCCTGCCAGCGAGTCGAACGATGTACCAGCGAGTCGAACTAGGTACCAGCGACTCAATAGTGGCGGGACCCAACGTTCAAAGGAAGCCCGCCACTTTCAAACAGTGTCCACTGTCACGTGACACTGTTTGAAAGTGGCGGGCTTCCTTTGAACGTTGGGTCCCGCCACTATTGAGTCGCTGGTACCTAGTTCGACTCGCTGGTGCAAAGTTCGATTCGCTGGTTCGATTCGCTGGCGCAACGCTCGGATCCAGCGAATCGCTCGATTCGCAAACTATGACATCGGCCATATGATGACTGCTATGACGTCACAAGACGCTGTGGGACTAGATACTTACTATTATTTTGACCTTTGATACTACTTGTGGCTGGATCGTTAGAATATATACTATCGACAAGTAGACTGAATTCTAGGGAAGTAGAAAGACTACCTCCCTTTAGAGCTCAGCCTACCGCCGCTCGTAAGTTATTCTCCCCTCCTCGTGATGCACGTCGGGACCAAGTAACGAAAAGCTTAGTCCTGGAACGGAGCGTTTTCGTGATTTTGACGCGATGTTGGGAGGTGCCCCCCCAGCCACATTGCGCCTAGTCGTGTTTGCACCACTTCCTTATTAATACACGTTGGACATCTATTGCCGGGCGCGATCGCAGGATATGGGAGCATCGACTAGGACTATTCTGAGGACTGGAAACCGCCAACGGAGCCTGGAGCCCCCTTCCCCCTTGCACGAGGCTTAGCCTTGTTTACAAAAAAACAATCACTTGACGCAGTTTAAAAGACGCAATGCTCCCGTATTTTGCGAATGCGCCCAATGTTGT